AGTCAAGACAAAGGAAGTGACAATCTTTTGTGACAATCAAAGTGCTATAGCCATCTCTCAAAACCCAGTGCATCATTCTCGCACTAAGCACATTGATGTCAAGCATCACTTCATCAGAGATCATGTGGAAAAGAAAGATATCAAAATTGAGTATATCTCAACTGAAGAACAACTGGCGGATATCTTCACAAAACCACTAAGTGAAGCCAAGTTCTCCGATTTGCTTCACAAAATTGGTCTAATTCAATTAGACTGAGTGCGGTACACGTGGCGAACTACTTTCTATGTCTGTCAATATATTGGGTAGGCACGTGGCCTTGGGAATAGTCAAAAACCCAATCGCCACTAGCCGCAAAATCGCCTAAATTAAAACCCAATCGCCACTATTCAGATCTCAACCGCCCACTCAAAATTTTTCGTCGTCTTCTTCGCGAAAAATCTCAAAGAACTCGCAAGAACCCTAGACCTTTTTCTCTCAAATTCTCACTCAAATTTCTGAGAAAATGAAGGTTGTCGGCGCAAATGTCCACTTCCAGAAGTTAGAAGCCAAGTGCTCTTCACAGATATTCTTTGAAAGCTATCTGGAGATGATAGCCGCTCAAGAACTCTCCGAATTTCTTCAAATGGAGATTCGCCTCAAATTTGAAGAAGAAGTTCTTGAATTCTACAGAAATGGAGAAGTCAAAACTGCTCATTCAAAGAAGGACCCACAGAGGACGTTTCCAGTCATCAAGTCCACTGTTGGAGGTACAAAAGTGAAGCTTTCGTAGAAGAAATTAGGAGAAAAGCTTCGCCTTCCCAATTCTGGAGTTGAAATTGGGAAATTTCCAGTCAAAAATCTGGACTGGAACATCATTGGAATCTCTGGGCGAATTCCTTCTGGCCCGGCGAAGAAAGCAGATCTAAACAACGATTACAAGTTGGTTTTGGAACTGGTCATCGCTTGGAATCTATGGGTGCTGCAGTTAAAGGGAAAAAGTATGAAGCCAGATACTGGCTATACTACTTATCCTCCAAAGGAGAAAACAGAGCTAGTGCTAGTGCCACTGCAGAAGAAAGCTCATCAGACAATGTTCCGATCCACTCATCAATTTGGCAAAGACTGCCAAGAGAAAGAAAGTGGTGTCCCCCCTCTCCAAGTGTTGAAGCACCCCAGAACCTTGCTTTGATCTGTTTGGAAGAGGAAGAAGAAGTCTCTGACCATGGAGAACTTCAAAGGAAGAAGAAGAGGAAGATCAACTCTCCATCAACATCTGGAAATGTCAATCCGGATGAGTTGAAGGAGAAGGAACCTACTGAGGAAACCTCTGCCCAAAACCGGAGCCCTCAACAACTTGAAGAAGAAACTCCTCAAGTCCAAAGCCTTCCAATCTCATCACCTCAACCTCAAACAGATGATGCAGATAACCAATTCTGGCAGCTCTACTATGATTGGAAAGCCTGGAAAGTTGGGAATTCAGCAGAGCAACTGTTGAATTGGGACCAACAACTAAAGAATGAGAAGATCATCAAGAAGTGCTTAGGAATACCAGTCAACCACAACTGTGAACAAATTCTGGATGACTACTGGGTATGGCAAAGGAACCCTGAAGACTTGCATCTGGAATACCTGGCCAACACACCAGTTTTAGACTTTGAAGCAGATGATGAAGATCCTGCAGTCTTCAAGCCAGTCTTCTCAAAAGACACAGAAGATCAAGTGGTTCTCACTTCTGAAGCACAAGCTGTTTTGGAAGCAGCAGCTGAAGATTTCCAAACACTTCCGGAAACCTCACCTGATTTTGAAACGGAAACCTCACCTGCTTTTCGGGAAACTTCACATGCTTCTGAAATGGTTCTGACTGAAGCTGTCCAAGAAAAGGCAGCCTCTCCCCCACAAGAACAGAACCACAAAGCAGCAGCAGAAGAAGAATTTCAGCAACTGGGTCAATCTCAAATTCTTGAGACTCTCACAACTGCATGTGAGATCTCCAATCCTACTGATATTGAGATCCCGGAGAAGTCAGCAGAAATTCCGGATCAGTCAGCTCTCCCAGAAACAATGGAACAAGCTGTTGAAGCGCAAAGGAATTCTGGAGAAGCTGAAAAGGAAACTCAAATGGCAGAAGTGGAGGTCTGTCAAACTCCAGTAGCCATTTTTGACGAACAGAATGCAGCTGAAGAAAGAGACTCCCTCTCTAGGGATATATCAAATTTTGCGCTTGATGAAGCAGAAAGAGAATCTGAAAGAACACTGAAGGTTACTGATGAAGAAGATGTACAAGAAGATGCTGAATTTCTTCCTATGCAACTCTTCCAAAGAACATCATCCCCTCATCAGGTAACCAATTTTCATTTCCATAGCTCTTCCACTCCTACCTATCCGGATGAGATACCGGAAATCTGGACAAAGAAGGTCCAAGGGCTGATTGAATCAGCCCTAGCATCTCAACATGCCTCCTTTAGGCAAGAGATAGAGCAAATGGAAGCCAAGTACACCAACCTTATAGAGAAATCTAAAGAGAAGCACAACACAGATCTCAAGGAAATAAGCAAATCAGTAGAAAAGACTCTAGAGATCATCTCTCTATTGAGTAAAACTGTGAGCAACACAATGGAAATATATGCCTCTGACAGTCAACTTCAATTCAAAGAGTTCAACACTGTCAAAGAGCAAATAGCGAGTGTCACAGTTGGTCTACAAAAACAGATGTCCCTTCTCCAAATGGACATCAGATCAGCCTTAGCAGTAGCTTCTGCAAATCAGGTAGTGACCAAAGACTACTTGAAGGTGATCATTGACAATCAAAAGGAAGCATACAAGCTGTTCAGACTTATTGGCGCAAATTCTGGGAACCGCAAGATGGAAGTAATTCTCCAACAACACAGCCCATCTCCAATACCACAGCTCCCTATTGCAGTCAAAGAAGGAGAAGCATCTTATATTCCTTCTCATCTGAACATGACAAATCTAATCCTTGAAGCACAGCAAAGAAATCTGGAAAACTCAGCGCAGCATCTATCCAGCTCAGGACTGGATGGAACAGAATTTATAGGTACAGTTGTTGACCACTTCTCAAATGATGCTCAATCAGAGGAAAGACGCAACAACCTAAGGCGAATCAAAGAACTATGTGGAAACATGCAGGGCATCAATGAGGTTGCCGGATCTTCAAAACGCAAGAGAAACTGAAGGTTCTTTTCATCAAACCAGTGGGAAAGTATGTGAAACCACTAATTTGTTTTGATGAAAACACCTTCTTGTTTAAACATTGCTTGATTGGTTTAAACATTGCAACATTGCTTCAACAATTGTCTTAATTGTACTTATCATGCTTGATTATGCTTAGTATGATTTTGAAATTTTTTCTGAAGCGCATACATTCAGGGGGAATGTTATTCAGGGGGAACTTAACTAGTTTTGGCTAACAATTGTTTTTGGCTATGAATTATTGATGAGCTCTAAGCAATGGAAGTCGGATATCTCAGTTTTGGTACTAAAATTGGAAATCTCCGATTCAGGTACTTTACAAAATCTGCCTTCTTAAACTAAGCTTTTATCCTTAATTCATTTCCAACTAGCTCTAAAAGTACTGGTCCTTAGGATTTTTATAATGTATAGGACTTTGGAAAAATAGTACCACTTTTCTTTTAAAATAAAATTCATATTTGTTTTGGTACTACCTCGTCCTAAGTAGAAATTAGAACTATAGGGAATGAAAAATGATAGTTTTATTTTGGGCCTTGAGAACCCAATAGGAATAATTTCCCTTTAGTACATAGCTTTCTTTTCTTTTTGGGCCACTCTTTTGGGCTTAGTCAAACTAAAACAGTTACGTTTCTCAAACCAAACGAAACTGATTTTCTAATTGGAACAGTTTCAATTCATTGGTAACTGGAAAAAGATTCCTTCTACTTTTCAACTTCTTGGAAGTTGAAACTCCTTTACTCTCACCGTTCCAACTACTCACTTAAATGGAACCCGTGAACCTCCTCCTCCCCTATTTAAATCAAGACATTCCAATTCATTTCCATCACAAACAACTCTCTCAATATGAAAGTCTTCAAGTTCACTGTCTGAGAAAAACACTAAGAAAATATCCTCAATGGAGAAATTTTTCTTTCTCACCCTCATACACGGCAATTGAGAAAAGCCTAGTGAGAAGGAAAATAATTCAAAGTTTATGGTGCAATTTTCGGCAGTAGAGAAAGTTTATGGTGTAATTCTCGTATTTTTCAGGATTATACCATACACTTTCTCTGGAACAACACTCTCTCTATTTTTCTTTTTATTTTTACCTTGATCTCTTTCCCCTCCCCTTTCCTTTCTTTACTTTTTCTAAACTTTATTTTTTTTGAACAGTCGCCACACTCTTCTTACAAATTTTTTTGTGCTTCCTCTGCTCCCTCTCTCAAGGAGTTCTCAAAATCATTTTTTTAAACTTGTTTTATTCTAAAACTCTTTTTCAAAATTTCTTTTTAATTTTTTTTTGTTTTTGCCTTCATCTTTAAAAACCTTATTTTATCTTTTTCAAACTCAATTCTCTTTTCCAAAACCTTTCTTTCTTGTCTTTCTACATTTTCTTTTTCTTTCATTTTTTGTTCTTGTTTTTATTTTTATTTTTTATTTTTTGAGAGACGTGTTGCGTCCTAGATCTTGGTTATCCACTTTGGATAATAAAGATCTATCAAACACAACGCCAACCGCTCCGCCAAGCAGAATCTGCTGAAGCTGAAAACGTTCAATGGCGGAAAATATCACAAAATCTCAATACAAGACTTGGTTTAGGAATTGGTGTAATTTGAATTGTATCTGTTTAAGAGTTTTTGTTAACAAGCTGTATATTATGAGAAAGTAAAAGAAAGTTATAAAATTAGTTCTCAGTACAGCGACCGGAACTCTTAAACACTTGTTTGTCATCATCAAAAAGGGGGAAATTGTTGGGAAAAATATTATAGATTTTGATGATGATGTATTTAGAATGTAATAGGGACTTTAGGTCTCCCCCAATATTCAATGTAATTTTTCTTTTTAGAAATATTGTCAAAACCGAGTTCTTGAGATTTCCAATAAAGCTGTGATATTTCTTTAAGCATTTTGACACCTGAAGACTTAATCAAATTCAGTGATATGGAAATTGGATATCTTGATCGGAAATGTCAGAGACAAGTAAGGATTTCTCAAGCAGATGAAAATCCTCTGATCCGGAAGACTACATAAGAACCGGATGTCTCGCTACAACCCGCTGAAGGCTAAGTCATCCAAATCGGAAGACTAGCGCGGATCTCTTTCTCACCCGGAAGTCTGAGAATGACTCCTCCGGATTTGTCAGCTAAAAATCGGAAGACTCACTGAAGACCGGAATTCTCAGAAAGCGGACAAGTGAGAAAAGACTTAGAAAATTATCTAAGTCTTGAATGAAGAAATTCTACCCGTTGGTAAGGAAAAATCAATCTCTTGATTTTCAACGGCTAGATTGAAGATAATTATGCTGATTCAAGAACAAATAACTCGAAGACAAAGTCTGGACCTCTAAAATTGAAGAGCCTGTCCAGAATTCCTAAACAAGCACTAGAAGACAAACAGAGTAAAGTGCTACAGTCCATAATTCTTGAACAAACAGCTAGAGGACGGATTCTGTGGAAATTGGAATCACTTCTCAAACAATTGGGTATGTCCAAACACCCACTGAAACGAAGAATCTTCAAATCACAATCTTCATTCAAAATTGAAGCCAGCAAATGCAACGGATAGTCTATTATGATTTAACGGATAGATTACCCAATCCAGCTATAAATAGCATCCTTGGAAGACTGGAGAAACAACGATGAGATACAACAACACAACGAAGCAATCTCTAAAGCTATCTCATTCACAGTTAGCCCAAAAAGCTTGATAAAGAGAGATTTCTAAACTCCTTATCCAGAAGCAAACTTCTCCTCCTTCCAAAGAGCTATAGTGTAAACACTTGAAGGTTCCCTTGCCTCAAGTACCACACCACGTTGAAGGATACTACTTTTGATCAAACTTATTGATTAAAAGGGGGTAGGTCAACTCTCTTACAAGTTGATCTTGCAAGTCCTATTGTTCGGACGTTGCAGTTGTTGAAGAAGCGTGACCTTCGAAGGAACAACAAAGCCAGCACGAGTGCAGTAGCAACATTGGTCTTGCGAAGATATACCGTGCAGAAATTCACACAAGTGTAATTGTTGGTTCATTATTCAACAACCAACTACATAGTGGATTTTGAGGACGTAGAAGGATTACCCCACCTTCGAACCTCGTTAAAGTTTGCTCTCTTTTATCTTTACTCTCACTTGCAATTACATTAACTGTGAAAACTAACCCATCCATATTGATTACTGCTCACTCTACCCACCAAATTCCGCACTTAATCTAAAGTTCACAAGAACTCTAGATTAACACTTATCTTCACGTTTTCAAAAGAAACGAAAAAGTTTTTAAATTTGTAACGAAGTCTATTCACCCCCCCCCTCTAGACTTTGTATCTCACCACTTTGGGACCACCAAAGTCCCTTCGGAGGTAATCATATTTGTTTCAGTAAATATGGACTTCAAGCACTTGAACCCGGTTGGATAACATCTAGACAAATTGAAGCAGGTTGACGGGCAATGACACGGAATGCACGTCGAGGAGCTAAAATCTAGGTACGTATATTTCCTGATAAACCCGTTACTATACGACCAGCAGAAACACGTATGGGTTCGAGAAAGGGATCCCTCGAATTTTGGGTATTTGTTGTTAAACCCGGGCGAATACTTTATGAAATGGATGGTGTAACAAAAAATGTTGCCAAAAGAGGCATTGGTATAGCAGCATCAAAAATGCCTATACGAACTGAAATCATTTTTTCGGAAATAAAATAAAATAGAAACGGCGAACTTAAACAGATTTCTTCGTAGATTTTTGGAAAAAAGATATTTCTTTTTTCTTTGCACATTGCGATGATAAAAACGGAGTTCAATGCCAAACCCATTGAAGTGTAGCAGATAATAGCGGTGCTCGAACAATAATGTGTATTCGAATAATCGGATCTAGCAATCGTCGATATGCTCATATTGGTGACATTATTGTTGCTGTTATAAAATACGTTGTCCCTAATATGACTCTTGAAAAATCAGAAGTCGTTAGAGCCGTTATTGTGCGAACCCGTAAAGAACTCAAACGTGACAACGGAATTATACTACGATATGATGATAATGCCGCAGTTATTATTGATAAAGAGGGAAATCCAAAAGGAACTAGAATTTTTGGTGCAATCCCACGAGAATTATTGATAATGGCGCAGTTATTATTGATAAATTATTTCCTTAGCTCCCGAGGTATTATAAAAGGTTTTTAAATGTAGTCTACGAACTTGAAAAATATCATTATCACCTAAACATTGGGTAAAATCTGTCTAACGTATATAACTTTACCACACTCAAAATTCATCAAAAAATAAAGGGAAAAGCATGTTTATATTAGATAATATTTTTGAGCCTACCAATTCATATGCATCATGGGTAGAGACACTATTCTTGAGGTATTAATGGTTATACGAAATGCTAATATGGATGTAAAAAAATGGTTAAAATTCCCTCCAGTAATATTACTGAAAATATTATAAAACTACTTTTATGAGAAGGTTTTCTTGAAAACGTGTGAAAACACTATGAAAACGGAAACTACTTTTTGGTCTTAAATTTGCGCCATCAAAAGACTAAAAAAGGGCCTTTTACAAATATTTTAAATTTAAAAAAGATAAGCCGACCTGTGTCGAGGGGGTCCCAAGTTTTTCAACAAAGTCAGGCACCAGTCATTAGTTTTCTTAGAAAAGTAGAACAAAACAAAATTTGTAAAGGAAATTATGATATGCAGTAATCAAAAGCTGCATTTAGGCGATTTTTTTATAAAAACAAACAACAACTATTTTCCTTAGTTGATACATAATATTGTATGCTAAATTTAAATAAGAAAATAGTAAAGGCAAAAAAAGAGAAGTAATGTTGGAACATACTCATGGTCAATGATTATGAAGTCACTTGCCGTTTGTTGTCCTTTTTTTGTGAAGACGAATTTGCGCTGTAGTTTGGCAATGACAACTATACAGCTGTAGTTCCATCAGATATAGAACATAAATACGATGTTAAGTACATATATTTTTAGGACATACTGTTTTTTTTCGTAAACAAAATTTGTGTCACTTAATGATCCTTTCACTACGTCAAAAACAGAGGCTGACAACTGTTTATTTTAGTAGTCTAAAATGGATGTTTTCAGTAGTCATCCGAGCAGCTATCTGATGGGATGCTAGACCTCGGTTTACAACAATTGTGCAAATCCAAATCTGACATCGGTGTTTTTTAGCTTAACACAACTTTGAATATTTGTGGTCTGCTCGTGATTGACTCTACGATTTTGTATATACTCATACAACGGTTTTATTGTGTTGTATATAGAATTTCAGACAACTACTTAAAAACAACTATTTTAATTAATTGTATATGGATTATTACGACAATGGTTTATTGTAGTTGGGATTGATGCGGTTACACTACGTTTTCCAAGTGTAGTCTAATGTTCTATTAGACAGGTGCTTGGAAGACCACTATAAGTAATTCCATCAAACCTCTGCTACCTTCTGTTGTATGTACAACGTTGAGACTATTACTTTGTTCTTACCTTAAACAACTTTTTTGTTTTGTTGTATGCCGTCAATCAACACTCCAGTTTTTGTTCGTTGTCCTTTAAACATTGACACTATACTTCCAAACAGTAGTTGAATTTGCTACCAGACAGCAGCTCGGAAGACCACTATAAGTATTTTCTTCAAACAACTATTACGTTGGGTTGTATGTATAATGTTCAGACTATTATTTTGGTCTTATCTTAAAGAACTATTTTTTTAGTTGTACGACATATAAAAACAGTACTGTTTTGGATCGTTGTCGTACCACCCATTCAAACAATATTTTGGGAGAGTAGTCGAAATTCTTATCAGACAGCTGCTTGTAACACCACTGAAAACATTTACATTAGAGAACTGTTCTTTTTTGTGGTATATCTAAAACTAAGAATACGATTATGTTTCATTTCACACAACTGCGAGTACCAGATGTCTAGCAGCTATTACCTCTACTAGTTTATATAGTTGTCCGTAAAATATTTGTAATATGAACTTAATAGTAGTCAGGCTGTTTATCAGTTAAGCGTTTTTTTGTGTTGCCTATCATAATCAGATGCTTCTGTTTTATAGCGTTGTGTTGCAGATATTCAAACTATTGTCATTTGGTGTTGTACCTCAACCATTTGGAGTACTGTATTTGGTGGATGACCATGTTTTTTGCATTCTAATACAGTGGTCGTTCAATAAATCATACAACAGAAAGAGTGACCAGAAAAGAAATATAAATTCCCAATACATAGAAATTGTGAAAATAGAAAGACTGATCAGAAAAGAAATATAAATTCCTAATACATGATTCAACAATCTAACAAAACATACAACCAAAGTCCAGGGGTAGAACCATTCAAATGGCATTATGAGTCATAAAATACTTTGCAAATTCAACCTTTGTTTGATTGATGTCATCTTCGGTGTATTCCAGATTTCCCCGACGCACCCACTAAAAATCGTAGAAAAAAACCAAATATCTAATAAGCCAATCATAGAAGTGAAGTAAATTCCAAAAATATAGGATGCAACACATAAGAACTGATTTATATGAATTACATTATTCATGATGACCAACACTAAAGAACTGACCAATAAATAATACTCAAACCTTCACTTGCATTGATTAGTACACATTATTAGTGAACTAAAAGAGGCTCTACTTAATGTTAAAGTCTCTTCTGATTACAAACACCAGAACTGTACACAACACATGGCTTGTCATGTTCTTTTAATGTATTCTATAGGGGGATAGTCTTTAGCTTTCACCCACAGAAACAAATATGATGCAGCAACCATTGTTTATTTTAAGCAGTTTGAGTATAAAAAATAGAAGAAAAGCATCATTTTGCATATATTATTACTTGCACATATAAACAGCTGATATGCTGCATGATATTAAAATATAAAATAAAGTAAAAAATAGCTTTTATGAAATTCAAAACCCTCGAGCTTCACAAAATAAAAATACTCTGTACAGCTCTATCTTAGCTTCAACTTAAAACTGTGTAAAGAGCATGTAGCAGAACTTGCATTTATCCAGAAATTCAAACTAAAAAACACACTCCTAAATGATACACGGATGCAAAGAAGCACTTAATAGAGAACACTCCTAAAAGCAACAAATCAAACTTTGCAATTCAGTAATGGTATGATAACATACAATACAGTAAATATCCCTAGAATAAGAGAAAGGCACAATTAGTGTGAAGCAAAAGAAACAAGAAAAACTACATTTAAGACAATAATATTACCTTTGAAGCAAATTGAACCTCCTTATCCTGACAAATCTCTTTCATGTATCGCATTACAAACAAGCCACAGTCTACATTCCCTTTTTGCATCGTGATGCCCTAAAAAACAAAAATATAAAGTACGTAATACAACACTTCTCATTCAACCTGCATTACATACCAAATAATAAGAATCATATAATACCGCCATGTTCTCCCAGGACACTTTCTTCTTCAACATAGGGGTGTTCATGGTATTCTTGTGCAAAACTATAGCACTATAAGGAAACCAAAAAAGATAAATAGAAAAATGTTATAAGCAAAAGTGATAGCAAATACCAAAGATTTTTGTTCATCGAGTCACTACTTACTTAAGCCGTTTAAGGGGGTCCATGTAGTACACTACCTCTTCATTAGGTTTGGCAACAGTCAAAGCCCAATGATTCCTACAAATAAACACATATATGAATTACGACATTCACACGAACTTAAAGAAATTCACATTTACAGAAGTGTATTAACAAAGCATTACAATGCAAATTGAATACTAACTTCACAAGGAAGAAACAATTCGGAACATAAGTTCTTGACATGAACAACTTAAACATACTCACACATCATTGAACGGTATTAGAAAGTGTTGTCCATCACAGGCCCCCTTAAAGCGATCAGCAAGCTTGCGTGACCTCTGCCCTATGTTCCCACATGCAAGCGTCCCGACCATGCCGGGATCCACGAAAGAGATCATCTGAAGCAATTTGTTCTTTTTCACAAGCTCATACAGGCGGCTGCAAGGGTAATTATTTGATAGTTATGTCACTTGTCCATAAGAAAACTATATCATAAGGCTTTTAACAATGAAAATAAAATCTTTGTGTGATAACATTCTTACTGGATGTATATTGTAATTATGCTTCCAGCCATCTCGCCACTGTTAGAAATGATCGTACAGTAGACGGGAAGAGGAACAGTCCCGGAAACTAAAAGAAATAAAATAATCTGAATTTATAATTTTATTCGGATTAAATACAATAAATAAAATAAAATTAGCTTCCAATCTTCAAAGGCCTTCTTTGACAATGAGGACTTTGTGCACTGAAAAGAAGCAGCGAACTAGGACGTAGAACTCGAGAATAAAATCTGCAAAATAGAACACTGTAGAAAGGCAGCGGAGTCGCCGGAGCTGTCCTTAAGGTAATAGTGCCCGCCTACCGTACTGGAGAACGTGGGCACTTTCCTCCCAGGATAAAACTGCTATCGTGTGTAGTGGTTGTACGGACCGATTACACACCAACGAACAAGAACAACGTCGGAGTATTGCTGACTAAAAAAAAATGTTGAAGAGGATGGCTTGAAACTTTGGCAAAAAACTAGAGCTTTTGCACTCACAAAGTTTTTTTTTCTCTTTTTCCTTTCTTGTTCGTAAAAACCAAGGGGAAACCAAAAAAACTTTTAATAACAAGTAGGCAATCTTCTCTCTTCTTGTGTGTACGTTTATATCCAAAACCAAGAAGCATGAAAGGCCATTTAACATTTAATGCAATTAACACGTGCCTTCATTTTTTATAAGAATTGAAACGGATCAATTCTTTATCATGGGTATAATGACACTCATCAATAATCATAATGATTATATCAATTATGTACATTATTATCAACCGTTGGCATACACGTTAGTTTAAAATTTGTTCCTATAAATTGGAGATTAGTGGCCAGTTAACTCCGAAATTGGAACTAATTAGAACAAACGTGTAAAACAGGTTGTAGAAATTTGAAAATAATAAATATTTTCTTCTACTCAACAGTTCATTTGAGAATCAATTTCTCATTCACCCTCTACCATTTTTGGCGTATAAATTATCAAAATATTTATCTCATTTAAGAGAACACACGTCCATTAATTAATGGTTAAAACCGTTAGTGGACCTATTGACAAATATACCCAAGTTGGTCCATTTAATGCCTACTAAAATGCCAAAAATTCCAACAATCCCCCACATGAATGAAAAATTGATTTGGGGGTCGACAACATCCCACGGTTGAAAACCTGCAAAGAACATGTGTCTCCACTTTTGAACATGTCCCTTGTAAAGTATACCTTCTTTACTGGCTGTTCAGTAGAACACGATGTCTTTGAACTGTACTGCCGCTTGTGTAAACGATAGTATACCATACACAGATTCCAACCAAACGCCGTTCTGTTCTCATGGTTGTGCCCATTTTGGTCGTGGGACACGCGCCTGGTTCTGCGAGAGTGTTTAGATGATTAAGCCCAAGATCCTCCGTTTGAAGCGACCACACTTCACTCTTACATAGGTGATTCTTTAAGAGTATCCCGATTACTCCACTTAGACCACCGTGTCTATTGTTTAAGAATCATTAAAGCATATTTATATGCTAACCTCATCATTTTCGAGAGTCACTGTCTTCAGCAGGAATAGAAGGGAGTGACTGGAGGTTCCGGTACCGCCCCCACAGTGACCATGCTTTATCCTACAAGTAGGTTGTCCCATTGAACCTGGGTACCAGCCAGGTTGGGTTTTCCTTCATAGGACTGTCCTAGCACAAGGGCTTCAAACCCATTCCTGCCACCAACTTCTCATGCAACTCATTTGTTAACCCTTTGGTTAGCGGATCCGCCAGATTATCCTTTGACTTCACATAGTCAATCGTGATAATCCGAGTTGTGAGAAGTTGTCTAATGGTTTTATGTCTACGACGAATATGTCTAGACTTACCATTATACATATTACTCTTTGCACGTCCTATTGCTGATTGACAATCACAATAGATGCGAACTGGTGGGACCGGTTTATCCCATCTTGGAATGTCCTCTAGGAAGTGGCGTAGCCATTCAGCTTCCTCTCCACATTTGTCTAGAGCTATAAACTCAGACTCCATAGTGGACCTAGAAATCACTGTTTGCTTTGAGGATTTCCAAGATATTGCTGCACCCGCTAGCGTAAAGACATATCCACTTGTGGACTTCAAGTCTTTACTATCAGATATCCAATTCGCATCCGAGTATCCTTCCA